GCGGTAATTTCGCCCGGCAAATAAATTTATCGTTCTCGCCTCTTACTGCTCCTCCTCCCCCTCCTTCTTCGCATCGTTTATTACGGAAACTCTTTTCTTTCGGGACGAGGCCTCCAAAGGATCTTCCTCTTCTCGATTTCAAGCTCGAGTCGGTTTTTGTGCCGCGCATCATAGAAACCACAATTTAGTGCTTACAATCTTCAAATGTTCGTGACGCTTACTTGCTTCTTTTAGCGCTTAATACGAACTGTTAATTTTAATTTTAATTTTCATGGTCACTTTGAACTCGAAGATTGTGAGTATGAAATAGTCCTAGGGGTATTCACAGCTTCAAAGTTACACAAAAAAATGCGGAGGTCTTACCTATAGCATAAAAAAGTTCTTTTTTCGTAAATTCATCGTATATGCGATACCTAAAATTATTTTAAGATACGAAATCTGCTTCAAATGGATACAGGTAAGAAAATAGCGTTATCAAATTATCGTTATGCACCTTCCAACAACATCTCGTTTGGAGTTTAAATCCGGCAACCTCTCGCGCATCATTTATGTCTTGACTCTCCGGGATGGTTTATAAATACTCACGAGCATGAAGAATCGATATACTTGGTAATTATAGACTCTCGCGCAGCGCTCATAATCTTATATCGCTGTACTAACATTATTATAGTATAAATACCCACATCAGCGAGAAATAAGAATAATACATGGATAAAAAAGAAGCGTCCCGCAGCAGCGAGACTGTAGGTATAATATAGGGTACACGTCGACTTATCTAGCTTGTGGGGGAGTCTTGCAAGCATGTTTTATCGAGCGATCGTGTGTGCCCGGGCGTGTATTAAATTAGACGCTTCTTTACGGAGCCATTTCTCTCTCGCAGATCCTATCTAATCCTGCCCCATTTTGTCTAGCTCCCGGAGAAGGTAACGAATGGCAGCGCGATGCCCCCCAGCATGTAAATCGCGCCGACGCGCGAACCCTCGGCGGCAATCATTATATCGCGTCCGGATCGATGCCGCGAGATCTCGCTTCTCTTGGGAGCCTATGTACCTCCCTCCTGAGCAAACACACATACGACCCCTCAAAGAGCCCGTGGCCTCCTCGTGTACTCTCCCTGGCTGGTGACGTCCGGAGGAGGAAGGGCCGCCGAGTAAACTCCGCGTGTCGGCTTAATTTCCCCTTGCTTGCTAGGGCGGACGTTACTGCACGGGGACTCCAAAGGGAGCACAGAGAGCTCTGGGGTGCTTCTTACTGTGGCCACTGTTTGTGCAGGCCGCACTTGTTCCTTCCCGGCCGCTTCTCCGCGTGTTCCAACGGTGGACATTTCACGCGCCGCTTGACGTCAATGGGCTTGGCGCCAGTCGCGCGCGTCGTCGACCTACGCCCCAGAAAAAAAACGTCTACTTTTTCACAAGCACACGGTATATTATTGTAGCGGTGTTTGGTAAACGGGGAAGAAAAATTTTACATTTACCCATAGAGCAGAGGGGGGGGGGGCATGGCCGTCGTTACTTCGAAACACGTTTTACGCTTCGGAGAGTCTTTGGCCATTGAAAACCATTCAAATTGCAAGTATTTCGAGCGAGCGGTCGTACACCCACCGAACGTGATACACACAGCAACTAAGCGTCATTTGCATGCACATTGACGTTGGATGTCATTCGGTTACTTTTCGGTGTAGATGCAAAAGAAAAAAAAAATGATAAATAGCCTCGTTTGCAATGCATTTATGGGAATAAAAGGCCCTCGGCGCGCGCGTGGAACGCCAGAGCTTGTCATTAACGCGCGCGTGGAAATATAATAAAATAAAGAGGAGTAAAAGGGAGCCGCAGTTCTTTCAGCCGCGGAGTGGAGTGTTCCCGTGAAAGCTATTATATTCACCGCCGATTGCGGATTTGATTCAGTGCGAGAAGTTCCCTCTCCCGAGTCGCTTTTACGATTCGAACGGAGGGTATACAAAAAGCGGGCTCTCGGCTCGCCGACATTGGTTATGTCGGGCTGTGCTAAAATACGCGCAAAAGCCCCCTCGAAAAGGGCCATTTTTTTTTTTTAATCTCCTCCCCTCGGCGCTCTTTCTTTGGATAATTTGCGCGGGCGATAAGGAAGGCGCAATGAAAAATGAGAAAAGAAAAGAAAGCCCCGAACACTTACGGATAAAAGAGACGGCAATTAGGAGCCGTAATTTCGGCGATAGATCCTAGGAATTGCAAAAAAGTGCCATTTTAGCCCCGGGACTCGTTATGTGATCCGAATGTCGGACCAACTCTTTTACGTTATCGAAAAGCGAGGAATCCTCGCTCAACTTTGAAATGAAAAGTCGAGTTGCTGCAACGTTGCTTTTTTTTTTCAATTGCACGTTTTCACGCCAAAGTGGTAATGGGGTTGGACGACGAGGAGGAGATTGAAAGGGCGCGTCGTTAAGCGGCCGCTTGTGCCAGTGTGGTCGGAACACGCGAAAAGTGAATGAATACTGTCCGATGCCAGTGTTTGCGCCCAACGGGGCGATGTGGGATGGGTCCGCGTATGCACGTTTCGCCCCGGCGTCGCGGGAATCGAATTAAAACGTCCACGTTCCCGTGATAATGGGATTTCCCTGAATCGAGGGCGGAACTGCTGCGTTAGGGAAAAAAAACCTTCGCTGAAGGTGCATTTGCACACGCGAATCGCGTTGATTTGGATTTTTCAAGAGCGCACTCGGCGTTAATGGCATTTCGAGCGCTCTTTGATCGGATCCAATCGGTTTTTCGCGACAATGCCGAGCACTCTGGCGCCAAAACAATCCATCCGGACACACGGAATCACGGCTCCCACACAGTCGATCATGGGGAGGATATTTCTGGAAAAAGGTTCATGAAACTCGGATTCCCCATGTACGTGCACGGGGAGATCGTAATAACACATACGGTATGCCCCATCACGGGGGGGGGGGGGTTCGGGTCAAAAAGGGCGAAATAAAGACGGTAGAGGGGTGGAGGGAAAGTTGGTAGAGAGAGAGAGAGAGAGAATCCCAGCGTATTTTAAGGATTCCGGGCACATCTGCTGCTGGCCTCCTTCGGTGGGGGCTGCGATCACGTATTCGGGGCGACAGCAACACGGCGAGAGCGATTGTCAATCCGATCGCGACCGGTCGCTCACGCAGAGGCAGTCGTCAGCGCCGGATTGAGTATGCGGCACGCATCCCGAGCCATTTCGCTCGCTCGCTCCCGAACCTCCCCCCCTCTAATGAGCTCCAGATAGACGCTCTCTGACTTATTGAAATGGCAAAGTCGAATAGCTCTCGGTGAGCCATGATTTTCTGCGGTACGCGGAGATCGATCGCTGGTGGGCGTCCATTTTTTTGTTTTTACCTTCTCCCCGTAGGACGAGGGAAAAGCCAATGTACGTACGTAATGAAACACACGTGTGTACATATCTGCAGAAATGTTTACGCGAGCTTTCGAGCTGCCGGCAACTTGCTCGTTGATTCGTACACGATGACTCTTGGCGGTGCGAGACAGACAGACAGACATCAGCTCCGGAATCCAATTAGACTGCAAAGATAGAGGAGGAGCGTGTGTACGGCGGCTGTATACCGTTCGTACATGTATCCGTCCAGATGCTCGTCTATCTGTCTGTCCATCGTTCCCTCTCCCGTCATTTCTGTGTCCGTCCGTCCGTCCGATCGTCATTGCGTTCGTTTGTTCTTCAATTTTGAGATCGCATGACTTACGACTACCGATGTGATTTGCCCACTGCGCAAAAATCAGTGGAGAAATTTTTTTTTTCCGCCACCTTTCAGCACAAAAAAATCGCGTATGGTTGAGAAAGATTTTTTTATTATTTTGGCTCGATGCTTCGAATGCAAAAACACCTCGATGCGAGTTGCACTAACGTGATGGATTGCGTTTCACATAATGGTACTGTTTTAGTCACAAAGGGCCCGTGAATATTGACGGTGGAATACCACAAAGCAGAAGAATAACACTTTTACTGAATTTATACTTGGTGATCCAAGTGAATTGGTTTAGTAAACTGAAAACAAAATTTTTTTTTTCTTAAAAAATGTTATCTTATTTTTGTTGTATAAAGTGTACATATGCACCAAACAATAGGTTCAAGCACTTTGATGCTTAAAAATTCTATAAATTCGCAAAATGCATGCACACATCAGCCCAGGGGTATCCAACAAAAGACTGTTAAACAACCAAGCACAGGTGAAAGGCATCGCTGTCGCTCGGACACAGTAGTACGGCAGCCCTGCGATACGGATAGGGGAGCGTGTGTATACCTATGTAGGGGCTTAAAATTCACGAGCGTCTGCACGGGCCGGCTCTCATCTCGAAGGAGCATATTACGGAAGGGACGCTTATCTCCGCTACCCTGCTTCGTACCCAAGTATCGGCTAAGTACGGAGAGTTTCTCGCCGTGTGTTGTGAACCCTCGCGCGCATATCAATGTGGCGTCACAGGCCAGTATAGGAAGCGGAGGTGCTCTCGAGGTTGCGCCTGACGTGTTGCAATATTGCAGGTGGTACATGCCAGGGATTTCTCGGCCCTGCATCTAATCGAGATGCGCCGGAGCGAGGCTCTTGCATTTCTGCGGTATCTATTATGCAACACGCAGCCGGCTATTGGCCAAGAACAATATTATATTGACTCAAGGGGCACACGGTCACTCGAATACGAAACGTAGATAACACATGGTTGTTGTAATTACTTGTATTTTATGTTTAAATTTTAAGATCTCGAAAGATTCGTTTCTATATATACAACAATTCAAAGTCACGAATCAGATAACGTCGTATCTTGAAAAAAGTATCTAATGATCATTTCAACTTAATATAATATGTGGCATAACTTTCAGGCGTTGGAATTTTGAAAGTTCTTGCTATAATAAATTAATCATATTACATTATAAAATTGATTCAAGCCCTCGTATTAAGTTGACTGTAAAGCCAACTTCGCACGAGTGTAGGAGTGATACTCGTGCAGGTCAGTAAATTATGTTTGATTAAATTTGTCGGCCCGACTTTCGTCGAGCACTCTAAAAATTGGTTATAGACTCATCAAGTGTTCCCCTCCACGGAAATCTTTAGTAAAAGGCGAAAGATTTATGCGTGTTATGAAGGGAAACCAGAGTAACGATGAAGGGGAAGCAGGTCTCACTTATACTCTGTTCGACTTGTTTTGCGTTCAGAGACCACTTTACCGTCAGACGTCTACCGGGTAATACTGAAACTATTCTTAGTCTGGCAGCACTGGCGGTAAATACGAATTTAAAATTTTTGAGACGAGCAGTGGTACTCCTCGAAGGTTGTGCTAAAAAGCAATTCATTGACCACCTCATGATTGAAAGATCGAAATCTATGGAAATCTCGTAATTAATAACAAAATATTTATAACTTTTTTTATCTCTCAGTGTTAAACAATTTAATAGTTACTAAAAGCTTATAAAATTAAAAATTTTTCTTATTCAGTTAACTTTGTTAATAAGGAACGCTTTAATAATTTTATTGCAAAATTTTTGTTAATCACAAATCACCTGTGTCACCGAGATATAAAAAGGTTTGAATATTTTTGTCGTCGATAATATGATAATAACGATTTGAGTACCAATTGTTCAAAGACAAACTTGTACATTTATGCATGAATAATAAAATATATTACAATTCATCCATCCAATATTTATAAAATTTTTTATTAATTACAAAGAAAACAAAATCATATTATGTATAGCAAAACAAAGTCCGATGGACTTTTGGTTTAAAAATGGCTAGTAAATATATTTGAAATCGTTTGATTTTTTAGAAATGTTTTTTGCTCTGCCAAACATACAGAAAGGAGGATATTTAGTGTTCAGCTAGATTCATTGTGAATTTGTTCATCGCCATCTCTTCTGTAAACTGGAGCGAGAAATCAATGCTGCACCTGCCACAGACGACGATAACGATTATCCGATTACCGTGACGATCGAAACAACCAGATCCGATTGTCCCTTGATAATAGGATGACGACAACCGAAGAGTATGAAAAATGAAAAAAAAGACAAGTAAAACGAGGGTATTCTCCATAACTCGATCCGTCCCCTCCTTCTCTCGCGCACAATCTTTTTCCTCCAACCTCGACTCAAAGTCCGGTTGTTAAGAATAAAACGAAAGTCGAGCGAAAAAAAAAGAATGAAAAGAAAAGTCGCGAAATTTTCTCCAGTACCTACCTAATAGCGCAAGTGCAGCAACCAAGACGAAAGCGAGAACAAAAAGAAAGAAAATCCCCCCGTTTCTTTTTTCTTTCAAACGAGAGAGAGAGAGAGAGAGAGAGAGAGAGACGCTTCTCTTCAAAATCTTTGCAAGATCTCCGGCGACTAATTGTAAGTACCATTATTCAGCTAACGATCCGGGGAGCGCGGAAAATATTCATGGACAAACTCCCCGAGGTGACGATCGGATTTCACCATTATACGTACAGCCAGCGGACGGAGGTTCTCTAATATAATTAATGGCCCGATAATTGTGTACTAATTGGACAAAAAAAAAAGGGAAGAAAATCGAATTAATGGTCAGCACCTATTATACACACTGGGAAACCTCTCATTTAAATAGTTTATACATAGTAATCCCTCGAACGCACATACAATATAAATACAGACAGATGAAAATGCTGAAACGTTAATGACATTTATAATCGATGCGAGAGCCGCGGCGCGCCTGATTGATTCGCCGTATAATCGCTGATTTTTTGTTTTGTTTTTCCCTTTCATATTTCCTTCATTGTTCGTGCTAACGGTAGTTTGGTATTGCGCATCAGCGATGGAGAGAGAGAGAAAGGGGCGAATGGGCGAAGATTACGCTCGCGCGGTGTGGTGAAACGACGAGCACAATGACGGGAGCGGCAGCAGCGCTAATCCCGTATACACAGAGCCGCTAATGGATCATCGTCGTATACGCGGGGGGGAGGCATCAGCGCGAGAGACCTAATAAATTTGCGCTCGGCCTATCAGCAACAGCAGCCGCGGTGGTGGCGGAATCATCATCGACTACTATACATGCGCGTTCCCCGCCGAAAGCGAGCATCACTGTAAAATCTTAGGCACACACATATAGGTACGCGGCGCATTGTTAATCATTAGCAGTGCCGTTGCCGTGTTTGCTCTAGATATTATATGTATACATATACCTATATATATACGAATAGAGGCTGCTGCACGCATGCATTAGGCCCCAATCGCAATTTCTCATGCACTCCTCTTCCCCCCCCCCCCCTTCCCCTCCTATACATGTATACATGTATTCGAGTGACGCACTGTACCCGCACGCATTATGCGTCAGATGGTAAGAGGATCAGGCTCGTATATAACCCTCGTAAATTATGTACGCCATCGGGGGAGAGGAGACGAGTGTAGGCCGTAATAAACCAACAGCCGAAATCATCGGCGTCGCCGCCGCGAATAGGTTGCGGTGAAGTCTTGGGCGCTCGAAACACTGCCACACATGGTGACATCACCAGTAGGTATTACCGTCAAAACACCCGAAAATCATCGGCCACTGAGAGCCTTCGAAACCCCGAGCCGGCGACTGATTATTTCCTATCGAGGCTTGACAACGACGACGGGCCGGGCAACACGAGAGCAGAGGTGTTTCGATTGATTAGTTGCACCGTGATTTTATAAATTAATTACCAATTTTTTTTTTTTTTTAACGAGTGACACAAATGATGGAAATGTAATATGAAAAAAGGCAAGAGTCGAAGTTTGCCTATACTTTGTGGAGTAAAGTGAAATTTTCAAGTTTCCGTATACCCTGGGTTATATTCGAAATTCGTGCTCTCCCTCCTCCCGTTCCTCTTTGCAACAACAACAACAATGGGATCGAGCATCAGCGACAGCTGCAGCGGGACTGAATTCGGATGATTAACTCGATGATCGATCGCGTTTATGTATACACATACAGCGGCGCGGGTAATGGCGGCAGAAGCTACTCGTCTTTGAATAGGGATTTTCATGATTTATGGCAGCCAAGCGGAGGGTCCAGAATAAGCAACTCGCGAGTCGCTGCAGGCCGGGGATAATGGAAAATCGATTGATTGTCGTGTCCCATAAGCAAGCATGGTGTAGGCCTGTTTGCGTATGCCCACCTGTCCCTGTCGTGCGTGCGAGCTTGCGTTTGTACAACGTTTGTTGCAGCGTGCGTCGACGCGACTAAAATAAACCGCTGACGCGGCGCCGCCCGCCCAACCCAACGCCTCGATTTGCAATTTTCCCGCGACGGGACAACGTATACCTACTAAGCGCTCGTACGTGCTGGAAAACAAAATTTGATTCCGTTTTAATCGTCGGACATGACGCGGTTTAATTTTAAAGGATTTCGTCGACGCGGTCTGATCGTTGCAATTAAATGCCGAAGCACGTGTGTGGTATCGCCTCGGCCGAGCAAGTCCGATTGATCTCGACGCGAAGCAGCATAAAAAAAAAAAGAAAAAAAAAAAGACAGAGCCCGTGCCCGGTGCTGTTTCAAATTGTTCGTATCCATCTGAAACAGAATGAAAAAAAAAAAAAAAAAAAAACCATGTTTGGACGGGCGAAAAAATTCAATTAATCCAAACGTGTGCTGACGGAAAAACAACGAATATCGTTGCCACAAACTCTTCTCCTGTCTTAACCAAAATTTCATGTTCCGATTTTTTTTTTTTTTTTGTTTTTACTTGGTTTCATCACTTTTTGTTTTCCACCCACGTACTTGTCTCGCTTCCGTGTATTATGCACCGCATTGCCGATAGCCTAGCCGAAATTGAATCTTCTCGCTCCCACGGCATCCCCTGCCGCAGCGCACTGGTTGTCCGAGGGCAGTGGCGCGATGCATTTTTGTTGTTTTCCCCTATGGTTTCGCCCAAACTTCGCTACAGGTAGCACAACGGTGGGCCGTGATAATAATTTTAATTAAACTCGCGGAAACATCATATCTCTCACATTTAGACACCAATCATTTTTCAAAAGCCGGTGGGGGTTGAAAATTTCGAAAAAGGCGGTGTAAACGAGGGGAACACGCACCCATGAAACCAAGTAACGCCGAAGAGCTGGAATGCGGGACAAACAAAAAGCGCGGAACAAGCGTACATACGCACGAGGTGGAGGTGGAAAATAATAATTAGAGAGCCGAAATGTCGAAACTAGAGAGGACGCGCTCCGTTTTCGCAAGCGAAACGCAGGTACTTTATCCCTCGCGCGGCTTTCGAAAGTTGCGAATATTTTGCCCTGTTGGTTTACAAAGGAGAGAGAGAAAGGAAGAGGCGGGCTTTGCGAGCAGTTCTATTCGGGAAATAACAACGGCCGAGGGAAAGCACAGTCGAGTCGCGTTCATTTGCGTCTACCGAATTTCTCAAAAGCGCGGATGACGCATCACGTAGAAAAAAAAAAAAAAAGAAAAAGAAAAAGAAAAAAAAAATAGTTATATATCGTCGCTCAAAATCTAACTGCAGATCAATGCATACGGAAAAACGAAGGATGAAAGAAATAAAGCCGATAGTAGACACGAAAAGCAGCTTTTCTCCAGCCGCATCAGCATCGGGGGGAAAAAAGCCTTCGGAAACGAGGATTTTCGAGCGAGCCGGGAAGATTTTCAATGAAGAGAAAGAGAGAGAAAAAAATATATATCTATCTAAAGATAAAAGCGTCACACAGCCGAAAAATGTTTTCCGGCTCGTTGGTGTACTCTTTGTGTCGCTGGATCCTCTCGCGTTATTTCCTCTGCCAAAGGATTGTACATCGTGCGGACTTGCATCATCAGTTTCATCGTCGACAACCGCAACCCGATGGACGTAAGTACAAGTCTTGTTTTCGTCCTCCATCAGGATTGTACAACCCGTTCAATGGAGATACTCCTTTTCTGTAGACGTAAATGACTCGAGCGGATAGCCTCTCCATTCGCGCGTCTCAATTAGTCGAAAATGATAATCCACACTTCCTTCGCAGATGTCATTAATTTAATCAAATCGTCGGAAGTAATTCGAGGGTAAAGAGATGGGACATCATAGTTACTATGTATGCGAGCTCTCTCTGTGAACTCTATTATATGGGTACACCCGTGCGACAGCAGCCCCGGCAGGATCAAAGGGAATTTGCTATCGGTTTCGTAATTATGCGTGCAAAT